ATCTGTGAAATTTAAACTTAAGTGATTTTTTTTTTCTTCTTCCTTTCTTCTTGAAACAACTTTCTCCCTTAAGTGAAACGTCAACAGTAGCATTACATTATTTTTTTTATAAAAATATCTTAAAAAGCTTTTCCAATTCTGTAAATTGCTTGGAATTTTATAAAGTTATTCTCGTATATCCGTAGAAAGATGTAGAGATTCGTCTAATAAGCGTATCCTGTATCCCTCTCCTGTATTATGGATTCCAAAACAAGGAAGAATCCCTTACTCTATCCTGAAATCTTATCTAGAAAACTGCTTTTAACTTTATAATTAGACCCTTTTCGTGGAGTTTAATTAGTAGAAAACGGTCGATATGAAAGGAAATTCTCGGGAAGTTTAAAAAAATAGTGTGCTTATGTCACAGTCTGGTGTACAAGAGCATCATTGTGAGGGGTGAAGAGACTATAGAATTCTAGATGAAATTATGAAAATTTGAGCGGTGGGAGATATTATATAAAGAACTTTGAGCTCTCTCTCCTTCTTTAGGGGGGTCACGCTGTAGTTTTAGAACCATTGGAGTGGGACAACGATTCCTATTGTGTGACTATCAAAGCGTAAGATATTCTTGTTATTCAGCTGTTAATTCAGCCAAAACTAATAGAGATACGCGGCAACCATGAATTTTATACGGTTTAAAAATATTAAAAATAATATTTTAAACGATTTTCGTTCGAAATATTATGCAAATTTTCTGTTTACACTGGCAAAAAAGCCATAGACTTACTGTTAAACGTCCAACATCTTTACACATTTCGATGGCTTCGTAGCATTGATACATACGAATATAAAAAAAAAAGCGGTGGTTCCACTTCCGTTCTATACACGAATATAGAATTTTTTTTAATAAATAAAGCTTTAAAAAACGAGTAGTTGATGACTCACGCACACATCTTTCTCATCATAATGTGAAGAATGTCTTGCACATGTTCGTAAGCAAGTTTTAACGATAAGCAAGTGCGATATGGGTCTCTCTACTGAAGAGATATTCGAAAATTCTCTGCAAAGTAAGTATATCTTTTTGATTTTTAAGATAATAAATTTAATAAAATCTCATAAAAATTCGGAAAATCTCAATTAAAGAATTATAATATAAAGAATTAAGTGTTAAAGAGGGTTACTTTCTATGTGTATATATAGCAAAATATTCGCAAATTCTTATCAGAATAAACATATTTTTTGCAAAATAAACATCTTCGAAGTTAATAAACCTCATTAAAATAAGAATAAACCTCGATAAAATTAAATAAATTAAGCATAATTCACCTATTAAAGCTTAATGCTAAAGCTTGTCTTTGTCTCTAATGAAAAACATGAGAAAATTCTGAATAAATTAAGTATTTTTCGAGTTTATATAATGATAAATTAAACAAAAAACTTGACAAAAATCTCATAAAACATCTCAATAATAATCTCATAAAAATTAAAGTGGATCTGTATTATTCCTCTCTAATGAAAAATATTTAAAAATTCTCAACAAAATAATCATATTTATTAAATTACAACTCAATAAATCAACGAAAAACTCATAAAAATATTTAAAAAACTCTCAAAAGCAACCCCATCAACAATATCTCAAGCGTAACCCACCTATAAAAATGTGTCAAAGACAGTCTCTCACCCCCCTTTAATGTGAAAAATTCTTAAACTATAAGCATGTATAAACACAACAAAACCCAGCAATAACCCCATAAAAAATTCAAGAATCGAGCATATAATCTAGTGTTAAAGAGGGTTGGTTACCTTTCACACAATACTCGAAAACTAAAGAAAATAAATCCAAATACATCTTCCCATATAAACACAACAAAAACCCCCCTAAAAAAACGAATTAAAACTAAACATAATCTATCCATAGAACAGCATCGAAGAACAGAACATTAAATAAAACAAGAAAGAAAAAAAAAACAGAAGAAGAAGACCTAGTTAAATACTCATTATACACAGACAACGATCTTAAATCTTAGCTAAAGTCATTAATATTTACTTCACTTCTACACGTGATCTTTAAAAAACATTAATTATATTCAGTCATGTTCTACCTTTACTGCTGAATATATATATATACGCACTCCAGTTTGTCTTGTGGACACTTAAAAAAAAAAAAAAAAAAAAAACTAATAATAAAAAATAAAAGGAAATCTAATTACATTTGTCATTCGTAGATACTTGATTATAGTCGTTAAATTAACTAGGGGGGAGCGAATTAAAAATTGAATCTTCATGACATTCGAATTGCATATGACAGTTAGCCAGGAAGAAAGTCTCTACTAAATACGTAATTAAATATTGATAACTTTATTAGTAATTTAACTAAGTTCTTGATTTTAATTTAATCATCCACGTGTTTTGTTTTTTTTTTCCACCCCTTCCTCTAGTTTTTTTTTTTTTCGTGATTTAAATGAGTTTCCAGCTTCAAACTGCTCGAATTTTATGAGTTTTTTTGGGCCTAAATTGGGCCCTTTTTTTCTTTTCTTTCTTTCTTTTGAGGGGTTTTGAGTTTGGGGCGCGAAATTTAATAATTATAAATGTAATTTGGGTGTTTTATCCGGTTATTTTTAGGTTTTTTTATGCTGTACCTTTAAATGGCGGCCATTTTTTTTATGTTTTTTATGTCAATGGTCGTTGTTCGAAGGTTTTACAGTATAAAAGTTATTGTCATTTTTGGAATTATTTCGGATTTTGCGTAATATTTAATTAAAATTTAAATGAAATTGTATTATTATTATTATTTTTTTAAATTTAATTTTTGAGTTTTTAGAAGTTATTCTTGTGATTTCTTTTATGTTTAATGGTTTTAAAGGCTGGCAAAATAATTTTTGAACGTTTAAACTTAGACTTTATGCAATTTTTTAAACATTTAAGCAAATTTCCGAACAACAGCTACTGATAGGAACCAAAAAGAATGGCCTTTATTAGGAAGTGGCCGTTGTTTGCAGGTTATTTCGTAGGCACTCCAAAAAAAGAAATGCTCCGAAAAAATGGCCGTCGTTGGGAGGTTCGAATATTTTATGCTATTTTTTATATTTAAAAGTCTTAAAATAATATTTTTAAGCATTTATACTTGCATAAAAAATGGATAAAAAGGCAACTGAAGTGACGATTTTACTTCAATTTTCGCACGATTTTTAAGATTATTTTTTCATTTTTTAAAGACTTAAATAGTTAGAAAATCATTTTAGGATATAATTTAAGACTTTATTTAATCATAAAACACATATTTTAACCATAAAAACATAGGAAAAATTTATAAAAATGGAGGTGAAAACTCATACACACCTACAATTAACTTTAATTATTGAATAATATGTCTTAATATCATTAAAAATTCGAAAGAATCATTGAAGTAGAAAGACAATAAATGTATTAAAATTAATGAATTAAATTTCTATGCATACATAAAAAAGAGAATTATGCAAATTCGACTTTAAATGCATTTTATAACTATTTAACATGTTAAATAAATTTAAGATAATGTTTAATAGTCATTATGCATCTTGCTTGGATGAATATAGATCGTGCTACACGCTATAAATCCGAAAAGTGCTTTTACTTTTATCTACATTCGAGAAGAACAGGGAAAAAAAACGGGGGGAAGAGGGAGAAAATGTCTCACGCAACATTATAAAATCGTCCCTACCACTCGTAAAAATCAGTAGAAAACTATTAAATTTAAACGAGTTCTATCCCTTATGTAATATTAAACAATTAATTTATATAAAAATTAATAAAATTTCTTCTAAATATCCCGTGCGAGATAAATTAAGTANGCCCAACACAGTTATCAAATGGGTATTATGAAATCCAAACAGGGTTTTATCCATTGTTTCATCTTCTTAATTAAATAGTCACGTTTTACTATAAGCGCATGCCTTATAAACGACTCGTGCAGCATTCGGGAATCAGTCATCAATGTCTGTCTATCCCTTATGTAATATTAAACAATTAATTTATATAAAAATTAATAAAATTTCTTCTAAATATCCCGTGCGAGATAAATTAAGTACACACGGACACACACACACTTAACAATTTTCTCATCCCTCCAGGCAATTTTCATTGATACTAATTGCATTTCTAGTGATAATTGCTAATCATACTTTCTCTCTTTTTTTTTTAATTATTAGAATGTTTTTTTCCTTTAATTTTAAATGCTTTATCCTAAAGGATACAGTGTAGGAGCGGTTTCTATCCTGTATCTGTCTGGTGAAGGATAAGAAAGATCAACAGGCCTGGGTGATGTTGGAATGATAGACGGGTTTAAATTATCGTTTTGTTATGCGGAATTAAAAGGGATATTGTAGTGAAAATTAATTTTGGATACTTTAAGTGAAGCTAAAACATAAAAGATGACTTTTAATGCAATTTCTTAAATTTTGGCCTGAGTTAGAGCGGTTCAAAACAGCGATCGAAAAGACTTTCTTACACAATTTTCTTAATTTTAGAAGCTTTAAAAGAGTGTAAAACATAAAAATAACAATTAAAAAAAAGTAATTTTATAGCAGTTTCTTAAATTTTCAAGCTTTTGAAGAGATTTAAAGGAGGAAACAACAGCGATCGTCGCGACGTTTTTAAGACACTTTCCTTAATTTTAGAAGCGTCAGAGCAATGTAAACAGCCGTTTATTAACTAACACAAGACTTAAATTATTTTAAAAACATAAGATATTTATCTTAAACTATAAAAATCACTCTTTAAAAGATCGAAACTTTAAAGGCTCATTATATAAAAACGAATATTCGGATCAGCGTGGAACTTTTTTATAGACGTTGCTGACAATCGATAGAATGGTCATAATTATACAAAAATCCGTAAATTTTCGTGGAAAATAGGATAAAACAACTGTAAAACGGCGATAAGTAAAGGCCATATCAATCAGCCTCTCAGAAAATTATCAAATTTCGATCTTTTATGGAGATGATCTACAATTAATAGGTTATTTATTCAAGCAAAGAGCTTACCACTTCATACAACTCCGCCCACTTCATCTCTCACTTCTCAGCTATCAATCTTGTAAAAGCGGAGGAGTTCCAGTTGATCGGCCAGCCAATCAACGGACGGTATATCACGTGATTAATGCGTCATTCCACTAAAAAGAAACCTCACACACACACACATCTTCCCCCCCTTCGGAGTACACGTATATAGATATATATATATATTACTAAAATATAAATTTATATATTTAAAAATATATAGTTTTTTTTCTTCCTCCATCCTTCTCTCTCCTCCCTTCTTCTAAGCTTCCGTACATTGACATGTACTGTTAATTGACGAAGATAGGTTAGGACCCGTGAAGTACCGCAGTTCAGGGTCTTTTAGATGTGTGCGGGAAGGAAGCTTGTCACGCATGCTTGCATTTCTTAATTGGGTCGTGGGTTTCCGCTCGCGTGCAGTGAAGAGACAGAGAAGAGAAGAAGAGAGAGAGAGAGAGAGAGAGAGAGAAAATTTGGACATTTGCTTCCCTTTCATCCAATTACAAGTAAGAAGATTGCTGGAAATCTGCGACTTTTACACTCGAAATTATGGGCCAGATACGTCTTCCTCTTATCCTGCAACGTGTAGAGAGATGTTAATTGAGCACGTGACGTATTGATCTGTCCGCATCACTCCCGATCCTAGTGAAAGCCATTCTGACTTATATAAAAATTGCTTTTTTAAATCGCGTATTCTTATCCCGAAATGCGTAGTGATGCTGTAATTGATCTTCCGCATCACTCCAGCATCCGATTCTGGATGATGTGTATTTTTATACGGGTTTATTTAAATGGGGAATGTTATATGAGAAAGGGATGAAGAATGTATTATTTATTTAAATTATTTTCTTTTAATTATACGTTTTTGTATGTAAAAATTGAATTTTTACGTGTCTCAAATTCGAAATTTTGTGAATTTTATCATAAATTTACAGCTTTTTCCGTTCAAAACTGTATAAATGTATGTAGAGGAAAAAGAAATATATTTTTGAGTGTAAAATTACACATTTTTGGGTTGAAAATTATTTAATTTTATCAATTTTCAACATAAATTTACCTTCTTTTTTTTCGCTTCTAACCGTGCAAATTTACACATTTTCGACCTCTCAAATTCGAAACAGTGCAACTTCTCTCATAAAATTACACTCGTAATTACTTTTTAAAGTGTTAAAATACGAATAAAATGAACTCGATTGGAGTTTAAACACTAAGAAATATGGTGAAAACTTCGACTAGGAGTGAGTCGAAGTTGGCAAGGCCCAACACAGTAATTTTTGAGTGTAAAATTACACATTTTTGGGTTGAAAATTATTTAATTTTATCAATTTTCAACATAAATTTACCTTCTTTTTTTTCGCTTCTAACCGTGCAAATTTACACATTTTCGACCTCTCAAATTCGAAACAGTGCAACTTCTCTCATAAAATTATACTCGTAATCACTTTTTAAAGTGTTAAAACACGAATAAAATGAACTCGATTGGAGTTTAAACACTAAGAAATATGGTGAAAACTTCGACTAGGAGTGAGTCGAAGTTGGCAAGGCCCAACACAGTTATCAAATGGGTATTATGAAATCCAAACAGGGTTTTATCCATTGTTTCATCTTCTTAATTAAATAGTCACGTTTTACTATAAGCGCATGCCTTATAAACGACTCGTGCAGCATTCGGGAATCAGTCATCAATGTCTGTCTAGTAAATCCAAGCAAAACAGGATGTAAGAATTACGAAGGTCGTCAAACAATGGGCACTTCAATACCTTTTATATAAGTCTGTTTCAGTCCCTATAAAAATTTTCTATTAAGAAAAACTGATCTTTATCTGTCCTCAGAATGTTGCTACTCCACTACAACATCTTCATGCACCTCTCTTATGCTGAGGCAACGTGATGAGGACATTGTCCAAGAGTCCAGAAAACTTTGGAGTTTCAGCAATTGTCTTTAATATTTTAAATTATTTCCCGTGTGGTTCTATATAATTTAACAGTTGAGACTGTTGTTAAATCTGCAATCCTTTTATAGGGTAGACCCTGTGTAAAAATTTAAAAAATTTTGATTGAAAAATTCAGTTTGAATACCACGAAATACTAAGAAATATCAGGAAATACTTCCATAGGCAGTGTTTCCTCACTTCTTTCCGTAAACATGGATGAAGATGTGTTTCCTCGTGTCTATCCACTGATTCACTGTTTATAAATTATCAAAGACACTGTATAAACACTCGAGTAGTGTTATAGGAAGCAATAAATGGTACGAAACACTAGATAGAATTCTAGTGTTTTGTGCATTCATTGCTTCCTATAACACTACTCGAGTGTTTATACAGTGTCTTTGATTGTTTACTATTGTTTATGGTAGTGTTTTCTGGTGTTTTGTAGTGTTTCTTACTATTTATCGATTGGTAAGAGGGATTGAATTTTTATAAAATTTTAAAGTTTTTAAGGAGTAAATAATATAAAAACTGTGTATAATTTCCCGTTAAAGATATATTTAAATATTTGTCTCTTCTAAATAAGACCCGCATTAGAAACAATACAGAAAATGCAAAAATAATAGAATAAACTTAGAAGAGAAGACGAAGCACACGCTTAATGAATGCAGAACTACACGAGTTTCAATCTTCTCAACTTTCCTAATTATAAATAAAGGAGGAGAAGGCACGTCTACTGGGTCTACTTTTACGGATTTTAAAGCCATTTTTAAGGGGGGAAACGCAATAAACGCCGATAAAACGGATAAATTGATAAAAATAATAAAGGTTAATGGATAGAAAATGGCGAAAAATCAGTGTAAAGGGGCTATGTTTAGCGGAGGAAGAGAGGAGAAGAGACATTAAAGCCAGCCATAATGCCCGTTTTTCAACAGAAAGGCTTAAAGAGAAAGTATTAAAGTGCGGTAACCTAGCAACCGCATCACGGTTACAAACCCCATTTCTTTCTCCCTTCGACTAGCAAATCTTTAAGTCAATCGGCGCATGCGCCGGCGGAGACCGCACCCACCCGGTGTTGCAAAACGCATCAGATTGGCGCCGGTCTTACGGTGGGAGGCGCTTCGTCCCGTATGCCCGTGGGGGGTGTCGACTTGTCACTTTGTTTCGCCAGACCAGAACAAGAGACAAGTTATTAACCGTCTCCAACGACTTTGGTGAGGTCTGGTCCTTTGCCTTTGTCAGCTGACTACGGGAACTTAAAGGCAACACGCGCTAGGCCTTAAAGGTAGATAGAAATTTCTAGTGTTTTTTTTTTCTTCTAAAAAAAAAAACACACCAGAGCCGATGTGTAGGTGAAGTTAAGTCTTTTTGCTAGGGAAATCGGACGGTGTCGGCCCAACAGAACAGCCGCAGCGAGTCCAAGGCCAACAAGGGCCAGACTTCTGCGGCTATGCCTGTCATAAGTGTAGGTGATTACGAGCCCCCGGCTCCAAATTTGTGCGCAGGATGCGGGGGAAAAATTGTTGATCGTTATTATCTGCTAGCCGTGGACCGACAATGGCACATACACTGCCTCAAGTGTTGCGAATGCAAGCTACAACTGGACAGCGAACTCACTTGTTTCGCTCGAGATGGCAACATTTACTGTAAAGAAGACTACTACAGGTAAGTCCCCCCTTCTCTTTTATAAATATTCCTAACCTGTTCGATACGTCTCGTAAAACCCCTAAACACACGCCATTGTTTATCGCAGTTTCGAGGTCTGTTGTGTGTGACTCGACTGGCCTGGTGTGTGTGTGTATAGCCTATTTTTATGTCCTGACTCCGCGGAAATATTAATTAGATAACGTGCTTTCCCCACCCTCCCCCGTTAGTAATTTGTTAAATAATTATTTATCCGCTTATTTTTCTTGCAATAAAATGCTAGATATTTGGGAAAGTATGCGGAGTTTATCTGTATACAGAGGGTGAGAGAGCCAATGATTTAGGAGGAATTCCAAAGAAGGATAGGTACACGGTACCAGTGCTACTTTAGTAACAACCGAAAGGAAGTCGGTATTCTTGGAATATTTTCTTATTGCTCTCTTCTAATCGTAAATATGTCTCCTTCCTTCTAGGCCCTTCTCTATGAAGTGTAGTCTCTGCAATTTGTGTGATGGTCTCCCCTTTTTTTAAACCTCTCGTTTCTTGTGTAACAGTGCGCAAAGTAATTCACTGCCTGCACTAACAGATGCTCTCTTTATAAATAAACAAAGGCTCTTATCGTGTGTCTTTAAAATGTCTGGTTAATGTGTGATTATTTTTTTTTAATTTACTTCTATAAAAACCCCCCCTTTTACCTTAAAACACATCGGATTTTAATTGTGTGGTTGCAGTGTATAAGAGAGGAGAGTTCTTCCATTTTCTCTAACTGTATACGCGCTGGCATGTCGTAAAATTTAGGGTTTTTTCACTCGTCTAGACAGGTGAAAGGAAACAGTTTAGTGATTACAGTCACAAGAAGGACAATAGATATTTGGCCAAGAGATTACACAGTCAGTGATGCAGGAAACTGAGTGATTATAACAGTTCATCGTGTGTTACGTTCGCATTCGGGGGGGCATATCTTGGAAGTTTAAGTGTTACGGGCCCTATACATTGTTTCCTAAGCACCGTGGGAGTTTTCGGTAGCAGATATACACATAAACATTCTAAACAAACAGAGAAATTCTCGACAGGGTGTTTTGAAAAAAAAAGTGTTTGTTTAGTAACTATCAGCTCTACACACACACACCCACCCAAGAACACGACTCCCGTCATCAGATAGTCGAGTAAAGCCCACCTTGTCATGGTAATTGTTTGGTAGTCGGCGGGGTGACAAAATTGTGTCTCCAGAGGGATCGGAGGGTCTTTAAGGGTAAGTTTTCCCTCCCTTCTCGTCGACAATGATCCTAGTACAAAGAAACTCTTTGTTGTTTACACTTAAGGTGGAGAGGCGGGTCAAGTCAGGCTACTAAGGACCCATTTTTAATATTTCCCTCCCGGGGTCTAGAATGGCACGTGACTAAAGGAATGCTTAGAATCTCGTACCGAATTCGGCCTAGTTATAATCGTTAAGTATTGGTAGACGAATGGGAATATCTGGTACACCAGAAACACATGCGTTTTGTTACACGTGGCCATCCGTTGTAGCCCCGAGCTATAACGGCAAACGTTTGAGTTTATATACAGTAGAAACGGTCGCCTTAACACCTGCTTTAGTTATAAAACAAGATAGCATCGATATTCCAGCAGGTGAACTTAACAGCCAAGTGAATTTTCTACAGAAATGTCAATCCCCCTATGGCCCTGTTAACAATGATACGAGTTGACAATAGCATATATGTGTGATTTCACGTCGACGTAACAGAAGAAGGAGTAGTACAGGGCTCTTTTTAGACTTGGGCAAAGTGAAGATGAGGTAGAAAAATCTAATTTTAGACAGGACACTGTGTGAGGAAGATATATGACGATGAGCTTGTTAGAATGTCAGCGAGAGAGCTGCACAGACAATGTGTGGTTTGATGTCGTAAAGAAACATTAGAAGATTGATGGTGTCAAGAATATCGCAAGACATATATTGCCCTCTTATTTAGTAGTATCATATTTCTAGAATGTATACACCAGACTATTATCTGCTTGTTCTATAATCTAAGGCCTAATTTATATCCCAAAACGTGATCTAAAGATAACTAAAGGCTGGTGTCTGTAGATCTTATCACTATAGATCTACAGATCTACAATGATATTGTTTCCAGCTAAACTTATATATTTATATACCTTGGGGCCTTTATAAATTACGTGAAAAAACCCTCTTACAAGGAATCTCGAGTTTTAACTGTTGATATAACAAGGCCTGACATGTGTAAAAGTGAATAAAAATTCTTATAAATTCTGTCTTTTCAAAGGCTTTATTGTAATTAATTAATTAATTAAATGATTCAATTATTGGATTGAATCCAACTCGATCTATGCACAGTACGTTTGTCTGGTGTTAAACACTATTATGAATCATTTGTATGTGGAGCGAGTCTCATGCCCTGGGGCTACTTTTTCTATGTATTTTAATACAATGAAAACTGGAAAGTATTGATAAACGTCTACTAGTTGCTACTACAATTTTCCTTTATATTTTAATCCATGAATTGGACGTAAATCATTGATATTTTTAAGTATTAAAACACGTTTAACGAGTCACGATCCAGGCCTAAAATCGAAATTTATCGCAGTTGCAATCGTCTAGCTGTGTCTATTTAAATAAAAATGAATTTTTAAAGCCTTACTTTCAGAAATTTATGGTTAATTCCCTAAAAATTTCCCTTAAATTAGTCAAGACTTTTTTTTATACTTGTAAATTCCCTTATAATTATAATGACTGAGATGTGTTAAATTTTTAAGCATAATTTTCCGTTAATTACAATGAAAGTTCGTATGTTACCAGTTTATCTTATGAATGACCCTCTTATAAGTCCCTTTTTTCTATTTAAAACCAGTTAAAACCCTACTTTTAAAAGCTTTAAACATAAAGGCCATAAGGTAAGAAGGGTGAACCACGTGAAAGACAAACCAAAAGACACTTATATAAAACCCATACAATTCGCAGGGACTTATACAACGAAAGGCCCACAAGTTTCGAATGGTTTCATCGTTATAAGGAATCTTTCGCTAGGGTTTCGTACATTAAACCTCAATAAATCTTCTACGAAAGGGCCTCTACACCACAAGCCAAAAGTTAACGAGATATAGTAATAAATAATGGATTTAAGTGGGCCAAAACTGATTTGGGATGCCGTTGATAATAGCCATACAAAGGCCTCATAGTGCATTTAACGAGGTCTAAGTTGGAACCGTTAGTAAACTAATTATGTGGAGCACCGAGCTAGATCAAAAGATTCCCCCTTCCGTGACGAAAATAACGAACTGCCAAAAATAGGATTAGCATGTCAAGGATCGAATATATTATGCCTAGTATTAAAATAGATAAGCCTATAGTCTATATATACACACACAGGCCTGTTAATAAAGCATAAGCAATGTAATCAACCTCCTAAACCACACAAGTCGTCCTTTAAGGTTTATTAAACACAGCACGAGATGCCGAAAATTTGCAGGATCATCGATGAAATCAGCAAAAATCCCCATAATATTTTAAATATACGAGATCAAAGGATGTCTCGTCACGTTAAATTAAGGATATTTTAAAGGATTTATGCAGTAATTCGAGGTCACGTATGGTTAAAGAATGCTGGGGTGATGAACTCCAGGCCTGGGACGAAACTGCAGGAGCGACGTAAGTTAGAAAAAAAAGTCCTAAAACAATCCATTGTAATGACATAAAATTAGAAATAATTTAATATTTTAATTTGTGACTATAAAAAAAATGGCGGAATTGTAATTAAATCCGACATTTCTATTAATACACCAGTGGCAGATTCGAATTGATATAATGTCGGGATGTATCGGATCTCGTTATAGGCCTATATTTTTTGACGCGACGTGACATCACGGCGTCACGTAGGTAAACGTGATGGCACGCTTGAATTCTTCCGTTTCGATATTTATAAAACTGCATAACTTTAAACACGGACGCAGTACGTGTGACAAGTTTGCGTGACTCGTGAAGTGACTATCACGTTTCACCCTCGCAGCCAGTAAACCATGACCCCTTCACGCATGGTTCGTCACTCACGAATGATATTGTTTTCACACACGTGCGAATGGCTTGTATTTTTCCTGACTTGTTGCGTGGTTATGTCTCGTATTGTTTTTAGTGTTTTATAAATTAACACATGATTTTTTTTCCTCTCTCCCCCTTTTTGTAGGATCCTCACGAATTTTTTCTTTCTAGTCTTTGTTATCCGTGGGATAAGTTTTTATTGTAGTGGCACACGGGTTTCGGGCGTTGTTCTCATCCGAGATCCTAGATCCTAGGCCCGTGTCATCCGCCTTCACGCTCAAAGGATCGATTTTTTTTCTTTTTTTGGTTCCTTATCCACGGGAGAAATCTTCACAGCCCGCTTCTTAATCTTTTCTTTGGCACTTTATTAAAGCTCTTCACCCTCTTCTCTGTTTATTTTCGCGAAAAGTGATTAGAGTGTGGCAATAATTCCCTACCAATCCATCAATTGTTTCTACTCGGTCGTATCGGAAACGGGAAGAAGGCTTTCCCTCCTGTTTCCTGAGAGTTAATTGTTACTAGACATCCTATTTCCGCGGGTGTAACGTGCCCCTCTATTCTCATTGATTCTTTTCATTGTCAATAGTTAATTGTTATACCTCGCAGCCCGCCTGACATCATTCCCACGCCGTATCTTTGAAAAATTCCTATCTCGTCTCCTACGTAAAAACAATCTACCACCCTCGAATCTGTCCCAAACTGTATATAAAAAGAAAAGAAAAAAAAAAACCACCCCATTTCGAAGAAGAAAATCCTGTTAATTGGAAATTCTATTAGTGTGAGGTTGTATATCCTCTTTCGTCACATCGAGTTTGTCATTTAGTCTGTCGTTGACATCACAGGATAAGGGAGGAGTGCCTGTATATTGCAACAGGAGTTCTGATAGTAACCGCTCGCAACACGGCATATCGTATCGCATGGTTGAACAACTATATACTAGACGACAGGGTTGTCCAAATCCCACACTACA